AGCTTTCGTGGGTAATGCCCAAATAAATCTGTTAGTCTTTAAGGTGCCACCAGACTCCTTGTTGTTTTAGTATATAATTGTGACATACTGAGGTGAAATCCAGATCAGTGAGGGGCTGTGTCACTCCTGCCCTGCAACTTTGAGTGCCTTACAATACCTTGCTGGTAGTAGCTTCCACCAGGACCACTCACAAACAGCCTTCCAGCATGCAAATCACACCTGTGATTTCTGTGAGTGTCTGTATGTAGCTATAGCCTGCCAACTACACTTGGGTTACACTCTGGCTCTCAGCAGCCTCATCATACTTCCAGGTGACCCCAACACACGCCCAATCTCAGATTTCCCCCCAGAAATGTAGGTCATATACTGCCCAGCCCTCTCCTGGACAGTCCAAATATATGAAACCAGTTATTCCTTTAAAGGTAATAATATACGCACAATTTACCACCCTACATGGAGTTACCCAGACACTTCAATTTAAACACACTGGATTAGATGAAACAATAAAACAAGTTTATTAACTACAGAGAGATAGATTTTAAGTGAGTACAAGCAATGAGGCATAACATTCAGAAATGATTACAAGAAAATAAAGACAAAATACTTTTTAGTGCCTAACTTAAAAAAATTACAGTATATTAAATTCAAGCAAAGTTTTTCATCACATTTCCAGCACTTACTGACCAAACTCCCCCAGAGTTCAACTAAATATTTATTAATAAAAGAAAGGAACGGAGTTATAAATGGTTAACAGATCATATAAATACAAATGATTGCAAAGTCCTTATATCAGGTTTGATGGAATAGACTGCTGGCTTGTAAAGTCTCTCTGGTAACTTCCAAAAGATTGGAAGGTCTTCAGTCTATAGTTCAAAATGCTCCTTTTAGTTGAAATCCATAGTCCAGACAATTAGGGCAGGAAAAAGAGGCAACGTGGAGATGTCTCAGGTGTCTTTTTATATCCTCTGCCACGTGCATGGAAATGTACTGCCCCAAATGAAGGCCATAGCCCTTATGTGCGGTAAGTTACTGGTCCAAGATAGAGTCCAGGGTCACATGAGCATATCACCATTTGCAGACTCACAGTGGGTGGCCATTGGCCCCTTGCTGTCTGAGGCATCCTCAGGAAGAGATATCTGGGCGGGATGAGTTTCTTCTATGGCCCATTGTGAGAGCTGAGTGTCCTTGATGGGCCATCAATACATAGCTGTCTAGATTTGATGTAAATTTATCTAGAGGGTGTCATCCAGGAAAACAAACACAGGTTTAAAACACAAGCACATAGCCAATATTAATAAACTTCAGATACAAAGATGATACATGCCTATAAACAGTATAATCATGCTTAGCAAAACATAACTTTTCCATTGACACCTGACAGGATACATAATTTCCATAAATCTTATACAAAGTGTAACAGTGATATAAATTGTCAGCTTTCTTATACACAGCATCACAGTTCATAACTTTACACATGATGGTGCTACATGCATTTTACTGATTAGTAAGACTGAGTTTGTCACCGATTCGGTGACTTTCCAGGACCTCAGTGCCTTCCACAGTGGCTGATGTGGCTGGCTCAGGGGCCGCCTGAACCCCTGGGTCAGCCGCACCGGCCGCTGCTGGGGCAGTCTCGGGCCATCGTGTCCCCCCTCCCACAACAACAGCAGGAGGTTGGGTGTGGGGGGGGCTCAGGGCTGGGGCGCAGGAGAGGGGGCTCTGGACGGCACTTACCTTGGGGGGGGGGGGGCCTCCCAGCAAACGGCAACATCCCAGGGCTCCTAGGTGGGGGTGCAGCCAGGGGGCTCAACACACTGCCTCCGCCTGCAGGCACCGTCCCCTCAGTTCCAATTGGCCATGATTCTTGGCCAATGGGAGCTGCAAAGCCAGGACTCAGGGCAGAGGTGGCCACGCCTTCACGTAGGAGCTGAGGGAGGGAGATGCCGCCTCTTCTGGGGAGGCGCGGAGCCGGGCAGGGAGCCTTCCCCCAGCACCAGCAGGGGTCCCGGGCCGTGTGCCACTGCCCCCTACTCCGATCACGAGCCACCACCACCCCAAGCACTCGCAGCGCCCCCCCGGGCTACCCTCCCGCCAAGATTTAGTACGGGCAGGTCACGGGCTTTGAATTTTTGTTTATTGCCCGTGACCTGTCCATGACTTTTACTAAAAATGCCCATGATTAAAACATAGCCTTAATGATTAGCATGTTACGAGTTTTCAAAGGATGCCTCACATGACATGCCTTGTACAAAGTTTATTACAATAGTGTACAGGGTGTGAATACAGGGGTGCATTCTGTCCCCATGGACTGGGACTAAAACCAGGGTCCCCTCACTTCAAGAAAAGGCAAGAGGCTTTTAACACCGGAGCTAAGGGAGATGATCTTAATACTATTACTAATAAATCCATTATCTCTGTGTGGGTCAGCCATTACACAGCAACATGACACAGACATGCACACAAAGCCCACACATCAACTGTACAATAAAATGTTAGTTCAATTAGTAAATTTTAAAAGGGTGAAAGACAGTTAAGAACTATGCGGTCAGCTACAGAAGCCGTCAGTGTCTCCTTCACAGAAGTGAACTTGCCAGATTCCCAGAAAAGCACTATAGCCCAGCCAGTCTTCAAAAACAACACGCACTGCAGAAGACCTTTCTAACTTTCAACTAGTCTCAAACATTAAGAAAAAAAAAATCAAGTAAGCAGCGACAACCCAGATTCAGCTAGACCAATGGCAAAACTCCAAGGATTCCCCCTCTCCCCGTGCTCATTCTAAAACACTCTATTTTCAACATTATAGAAAATAGTATTGTCCTGTCTAATTAACATAGCTGATGAAAAAAGCATAACCCTAGGGTAACTCCAACATTTCCTCTTTACAGTGATGTCTGAGGCTTTTTGTTAATAAAACAGTTTTTACCATATAGCTTTAGTTTTTTCAGCGTGAGTTGCCTTGCATTCACAAAGGATCTTTTCTCACTTCATCTTGATTTTTATCCCACTACGTATAATTAATCCAATTTGGAAGTGACAACTATTTCAGAATGAGTTCTACTACTATAAGGGTCATGGGGAAGCATCCCCAGCTTGAGTGAACTATATCACTTCAGGTAGCCCTTCCACTATTCGTTCACTCTGCATTACTTCACATCTGGATTGTTATTCTATCTGGTTACCGGTGCACCTTCCACTGCTCCAGGTTCATCTTGACTGGAGACACCCTCCGCCCCCTTTGTTTGCAATTCTAACTCACGTCAAGGTCACAGACAACACTTCCCATCAGGAGAGCCTTGAATTCCTTGCCCTCTGGGGAGAGGAGCAAATTCAGTCTCATCTTTCCAGTAACTGCCAGAAAGCAAAGATCTACCATTAGAGCAAATGCTGGAGAATGGGTGTTCCCAGAACACACATCAGGGAAAGCCAAAAAGCTGCGGAAGAATTGCAAAGTAACCAAAGACAAACACAAGACCTCCAGTAACATTCCTAGCACATGTGCATACTGTGAGGAGCTGGACCTGATTTTTGCCTGAGATGCCATCACAGAATCCCAGTAAATTTTGGACAGTTTGGCCATGTCCTGTGATGAGGCAGAAACTTTTCAAAAACCATACAGCCAGCCACAGGCCCTGACCAGGAGCAAATGACCTTGGACAGCCAAGATCTCTTCAGTATGCCTCAAAACCAGCTGGAGAAGCCAGTGACGACCCAGTCAGAGACATGGATGGATAGGAGGAAGGCTGTCCCAGTGGTTAGGGTGCTAGCCTGCAACTGAAAAGACCTGGATTCAATTTCTGCTCCACTACAGATTTTCTGCATGACTTTGGGCATCCTCTACACAGCAAAAAAGACCTGGGCAGCAAGTCTCAGAGCCCATGTCAATGAACTTGGGTTCATGCTGTGGGACTAAAAATAGCAGTGTAGATATTTGGACTCAGGCTAGAGCCTGGGCTCTGAAATTCAATAAAGGAAAGGGTATTGGAGCCCGGGCTCCAGTTCGAGCCTGAACATCTACACGGCTATTTTTAGCCCTGCAGCCCCATCCCAAGACAGCTGAGACGGGCTCTGAGACTCACCGGTCTTTTTTTGCTGAGTCAATGTTCCCCAAGTCACTTTGTGCCTCAGTTCCCCATCTGTAAAAAAATCACTTTCCTACTTCACAAGGGTGTTGTGAGAATAAATACATTGAAGAGATTGAGGTGCTCAGATAGTAAAATAACTGGGGCATAAGATATCTCATGAGACCCAGACCAAAAAAAAAACACAGTGACAATGCTGGGTAGGGAAAACGTAGTGTGCTATACCACAATTATCTGTCCTCTGGGGTTCCATAGCCCCTCTAAACCGTCTTTTTCTTCCAGGGACTGGTTGCTCACCACTGTGTCTGGTGGATTTTACAACAGAAGGCAGTCACATTCCACCCCTAGGCAACACCTTCCATCCTCTGCTCACTCTGCTTTTCTCTAGCCCCCACAACATGCTCAAACCAGTGCCAAGCTGGAGAATGAAAAGTACCTTCCCCCCACACCCTGTCTGCCACCCAAATATATTTAATCCGGTGCTGACAGAAGAGGGCACTGTCACTTCCCTGCCCCATGAAGCTTGATGTTTCCTATCCCTACTCCTCAACCACCTGTGCCTATCCTTCTAGAGCTGAGCTAGATGGTAACCAAGCAAAGAAAAAAAATATAAACACATCACACCAGTGCAGTTTTATTGTAGCCAAAAACATAGCAAGGAATATACCAGTCAAAAACACACTTAAGACCACAATTTGATCATGACCTTGAGCTATGTTAGATTTTAATACATGTGAAGTTAACCGAGGTAGACTGGGTATTTGAGATTAGAGAGGTTCTTTTAGTCATTTCATATTGCATAGATTCTATACGGCATTGTGGTTGCAAGTGTTCCAAAAGGCATCTCAAGCACTCACTAGTTGCAGGACATATTATTAAATCCACTGTAGTACATGCATTGAAGCTGCAAAGTCCTATTTATTTCACACAGCACTTTGCACTGATCAGCAGGATTAGAATGAGACGTTTAGGTAAAGATAGTAGTCTAGCTTGGTGCACACGTTACAAGATATTGCTGACTTCCAAGTGCAACACCTATACATAGTGTTTCCCTTCCATTCCAGCTGTTCATAATGTCTCGCCACTTCCTACCCTTTGGAGAGGCTCTCCCTTGCTCTCATAATCGTTGTGCATTGTGCGAAAGGCAGATCTTTCTCTGAAGCATCCAGCCTGGTCATGAGTCGCTTCCACCTTCCTTTCAGTCTTCCAAATGCATACTTCAGTCATTCTGCAGCTACTCAGGGTATAGTTAAGCAGCTCCTTTCTCTATTCAAGTGTCCAGTAAAAGGATTAACAAACCATGGAAAGGGCGAGTTAGGTCTCCCAGCATAACAGATAGAATTACAATTCCATTAACGTCCATAGTGGTTTTTGGAAGAAAAAAATTCATTTCATTCCAAAAACAGGAAAGTTTTCTAAAGATCCTGGCACCGTGGCACTTTCCAGACCATCCCACATTACGGTTAACAAGCCTGCCATAATGACCAAGAAGGCCTTGTATAATCAAGGATAACTTCCTCTTTCTGTCGATTAATTCCAATGCCTGGCAGTGGGGTCACAGACACAAACAGGCATGTGGCTTCCATCAATGGCCCCTATGCAATATGGAAACCACAAGTGTTCAAAGTCATTAATAATCCCCTACATCATAATAATAATCTCCAAGGTTTATTATCCAGGATAATAGCATCCTCTTAATAACAGCATACACTTCCGTGACTACAATACCAGCAGTAGATTTGTCAACACCAAATCGGTCAGCTTCTGACCACCAGCTATCAGGGGTGTTAAGGCTTCCAGAGGGTGATAGCCACATGCCGTTCCACACTGAGAAGGTGATCTAGCATTGCAAACCGAGGATAAGGTCTGTGCAGTTTTCCAGAAAAGCAGCCCTCTGCATCCTAAAGTTCTACAGCCACTGCTGGTCAACCCAAGTCTGCAACAGTGTCCTGTCCCACCAGTCAGTACAGGCTGGCTGAGCCCAGAAGTGGTGCTCTACTGAGTAAAGCCAATTCAGGAAAAAGTCATGTAGAAGTAATTGCTAGCTTTCATCCTCTTGCTTCTCCATCAGCATCCGCACAGCATCATGGTGATTCCTGTGATGACATCTCCTCCAAAGCCACCAACCTGCCTGAATTCCAATACATCTGAAGCACCCTGTTTGTATTAATGATGGTCAGAATCGTCATCTTCAGCAGTGCTTTCTTCATGCTCCCTGACAGCAGTTTGAAAACAAAATTTTTTTTTTTGAAACTCAGTTTGAAAATGATGCTGGCAAAATGTCTATTGCCTCCACTGCCAACCACATGCGGATAAAAATCAACTGTATCTCATTTCTGTGCACACACAATCAGCACCATTATAAGGATCTCACAATGCATACAAGACATTTACATGGAAAATGAAATTGACGTCAAAAGAATTTAAATATACTAGATTAGGGACATTTCTCAACCAATATAATGGTCTCCATTTAACTTTTGTTAGCAATTGGCTTTCATCAATCAGCTTGCTCTGTAACTTCTTAATTACGGTTTACTAATAAAAGTATAACAACTGCTGAAAGCTTTTACAATAGGTTTTCTAATAATATTAATCCTGTCATTAATTTTAGATTGTAAACAGTACTATTTCACCAAGAAAATCTTAATTTGAACCAGAAGTTTCTTTGATTTTTGTAATTTTATAATGTCATTGGCAAATGGCTGGAGAAATACATTAATCTTCCTGGTATAATGTCAGTTGTTCAAATAGAAAGAATACATAAATGACAAAGTCATTTTAAAATGCAGTTTTACCCTGACAAGTGACCAAAGAAGAAATCTGCTCTCCAAATGTATTCAGAATTGTATCTGAATAGTAAGACATGTTTTAATCACATTTCACTCCCATCTTATTCTGTTCTCTCAAATTCTTATGATGTACCTATCACCATCATAGCCCTGCAAAGGCATCGCATCTATAAGAAAGAGGGCTGTCTGTCTGCAGGCTCAGGAAAATAATGCAGAACCAGTTTACATGTGTGAAGTAGTCTTCACAAGTTTAAGTACTACAATTCTTTTTTTAAAAAGTTTTTAAATTAAAGTTTGAGTCCTGCCAAAAATGACAGATTAGGTCCTCCCCTCCCCCCCTATAACTAGCAAATAGGTAAAAAGATTTTTCAAGTCCTGAAATAAGTATTCCTTACAACACCCAAGTAAAGAAGGCAAGTAGTATTCCCTCTTTCATTTAATACAAAAGAAAAAAGCACACCCAAAGAAAACTAAACAAGAGGTTGAGAGACTGTTTGCCTACAAATATATAGCATGCCAGGGGACAGTATTGGAACTCAGACAACAGACAGTGTTGAAAGCATGTAACAGTTTTAGCACCTAGATGTTAGAGCTCTAGAAAAGCATCACCAGTCAGGGGATATTCTCCTTTGGCTCAAGCAGTCAAACTGTTATTAATATACTTTTGATTCATACCCTAGGAGGGACAGAGTTCTCAGACACTAAGGAACATTAATAAAACAGAAGAAGCCATCAGCTTAATTTCCTTAAGACCTGCTGGGGCTTCACAGAAAATCTATTTAGAAGCCACTCCCCTGATCCAAATTTTCTTGGCTTTTCTAATGCTATTTGCCTTCACAGAAGATATTTCTTCCTCAAGACGTCTTTTGTTCCTACGGCTCGTTGGTTCTGTAATACCACACAACCTTGGTTAAGTTCCCCACTGGGACACTTATGTATTGTGACAATAAGGACTGTTAGTTGAGTCATCCTTCTAAACGAATCAATAGTATCCCAACATCTGCTAAATTCTTGAATGTTTGGGGAAAAATTAACCAGACGTTCTCCTATTCAAATCAATTCAAAGGGAAGTTTCTAGCAGGTCCATCTCGTGCAGCAGAAAGAAACAAGGTCAGCGGGATTCAGGAGCTCTGCCATATAAAGGAAATTTGTATTATGCAGAAGCAGCACTACTACACACCCCCCACGCTCCTGCTTTCACAGTGGGGGAGAGGGCCATTAGCAGTCTTTCCCAAAAGTCTGCTGAAGCACACCACCTCACATCTATCACTCATCTTTTTTAATTCTTTTTAGTTGAACAATTGAGATTATGCTAAGAAGATTCATGTATTTATCCAGCCATTCTCCCATGATGTTATGAAATTACAAAAATCAAAGCAATTTCTTGTACTTTGGTAGCATCTACATAGCATCCAATCACAGACTAGGGCCTTGTGCTTGATACTGTACAACCACAGAGCAATGTCTTTTTAAACAACATGCTCTATATCAGCCAGAAAGTTATGGCCCATTATGGAGAAGATCAAATGATATGCTCTCAATGCTCCCTTATGCTGGGTTTTAAAAATCTGTGCATCCATGGTTACCGAAATACCTTTCCACTTGTGACCAGAGTGCAAACTGAGCTACTGTCCCCTTCCTGAGCCTGCAGGCAGCACCCCAGTGCATCTGCTGCTGCTGCTCAGACCTTCCCCCACCCAAGGAGAAAATGTTTCATGTTTATCCGACTCTTATTAGCGACGGTCTGACAGGGAACGGCAGACACTCCAATGCAATATTGGGGCAGGTCCTGCTACAAACTCCGCGTCCCTGCACGCGGAAGGCGGGCGGTGTCTCACCCGGGCAGGAGCCCCAGACCCTCTCAGTGACCTACAGATAATGAGGTGTCCGGGATACGTGCCCGGCACCTGCCACAGGGGCTGAAAGTAGCACCGACGCTGGGTCCCTCCCCACCTACTCACTCCAGCCCACCCCGAGCACC